CCTATTAATCAAGTGCTCGGATTAGGGTTTTTCAGGGTTTACGGTTGAGGTTTGGGGTCAGAAATGTTTGGGTTTTGGGTCATTTCAGGCTCTAAGGCTTGCTGTAAAGGAGGGATTCTTTTGAGAGGTACTGTAAGGGCTGTCGTGGGCGTTTAGGGTTCTAGACGTAGCACTTCAGTGCCTAAACTCTAGGTAGGCTTTGAAGCAAAAGGCTTTAGTCGGTTCTGGAGACCTACAAGAGTTTTTGGGCCAGGGTTTAGGGTTTAGGGCTTAGGGTTTAGGGTTTAGAGTTTAGAGTCTTTGGGCCTTTTGGTTTGTTCTGGGCTCAGGCTCGGCGCACTCCGATCCAATCAAAGCCATACATAGCCGACCGAACTCCAAAACCAAAAACATACGCCTCTAGTTCTAGCACTTTATGGTCCCTCTCAGCAAGGAACGAACAAGTCCAACATACAAATGGCCCTCCAGGAACAGCTCGGCATGATTACGATGCGCCAGAAGTGTAAGTATTGAAAGAGCAGAGGTGCAATTTCTTAAAAGGCCTCCCAGAATAGCGCAGACAACTCTTTCCAGGTGCACGAGGGGCCGGGTGAAGAGCCACCGAGTTTTGAGGAGGTGGAGTTCTTGCTCGATGAGGTGGGCTTAACGAACACCGGAACCATCTTTTCCAGGATTCCATGCTTTATACTAAAGCCGCTGAAAAACGAGGGGTTTGGGGTTTCTGCAGTTTTCTCAGGTTTGTACTCTCAGGACTTTGGGGGCTTCGTGTGAAGGTAGTTTGCAGGTCTAAGACTTCAGGACTCATGGCAAGCTTTCGCGTGAGGCGGCGGGGGTAGGTCTCGGGGTTGGGGGTTAGAGCGAGTCCTCGCTCGAGACAGCTTCTCTTGGGAGGTTTTGTATCCCTAGAAGCTTCAGCCATCGTTCGCAGAACTGGGCCAGCGACCTAAGCCCCAACCATACCCGAAGTCGAAGGACTAAATCCAAACTACGCCCCAAAACAGATAAGCCAAGCTTAAACTAAACACTGAGCCTATGCTAAGCCCGAAACCCAACTTAAAGCAAACGCCCCTGAAACCACTGAGGCGAGAAAACCCCTATGAGCCGCTCTTTAAATCCGCACAAACCGCGACCGACCCTTCTCAAGCGCTTAACAAGGCCCCAAAAGAGCCGTTAAGACGAAACCCTAAACCCTAAACCCTAAACCCTAAACCCCAAAGAGCCGTTAAGACGAGACTTTGCGTTTCTTTCGGACCTTCCTCGCCGGAGCGCTTGTGGCTGGACCCCGGTTTCCTGAGAGCTCGGGGGCCTTGAGGGTTGTTCAGGTTTAGGGTTTAGGGTTTAGGGTTTAGGGTTTAGGGTTTAGGGTTTAGGGTTTCAGGTTTTGGTGTTTTCGGTTTGGGGCTTCAGGGGTTGGGGTTTAGAGTTTAAGCACTTCAACTTTAAGACTCTAAACCCCATAAGCCCTGAAGCCTAAACCCTCTTCCTCCGCTTTGAGGCAGCCTTGAGGGGCTCCGCATCGGCGTCGTCGGGCATTGGCCCCGTTTCTAGCGTGGAGGCGTCGGATGCGGGAGTTTGGGGCCCTCTGAGGGTTTAGGGTTTAGGGTCTCGGGATGTGACGTCTGAGCTCTGCGGGACACAGAACCCTAAACCCTAGGCCCTAAACCCTAAACCCTAAACCCTAAACCCTAAACCCTGAACCCTCAACCCTAAACCCTAAAACCCTAGGCCCTAAATTTTTGATCTTCTGATGTTCTTAGCATCGATCTCACCGTCTTGCCTCTCATTTCCGTGGGTTTTTTTTGGGGGAAGCCCAGGAGCGGGCATTATATTTTTGTGTACCCTGCAGGACCTACTGTAGGGGCTTAAATAATCACCAATCTTATTGTGGGGGTTCCTTAACATCATTGTAGCATAGTATAATGTGCCCCAAAACCCTATTCTAATCATTAAGGCCCCTACGGTACCGCTACGCTTCATGGACGTGTGTTGAGAGGGTTCGGGGACTCCCTGGCTCGTCAGGGTTTGGGGAAGTTTAGGGTTTTTAGGGTTTAGGTTCTTAGGGCTTTTAGGTTCTTTCGTTCGGTGTCCAGGGCTGGAGGGCTGCGAGCTTTTGGGCAGTAGGGAGACTTCACGGCGTTCTGGAGATTTTTTGTTCAGGTTTGGGATGCGAGCCGTGCTGAACCCTAGAAAAAAGCCCTAAACCCTAAACCCTAAACCCTAAACCCTAAACCCTTAACCGAGACCC